ATGGCCTCATATTTCCCTAAACTAATTTAAACACCCAACTGAAATACCAGAATAATTTTTTTAACTTGATAAATGATAGCAGTTTTCTTACAAAAAATAAACATGTGGGTCAGGCACGTTGGCTCACACCTGTAATCTCAGCACTTTCGGAAGCTGAGGCAGGTGGATCACTCGAGGCCAGGAGTTCGAGAACAGCCTGTCCAACATGGTGAGAACCCATTGCTACTAAAAATAAAAAAATGAACCAGGTGTGGTGGTGCAGGCCTATAATCCCAGCTACTCAGGAAGCTGAAGCATGAGAATCGCTTGAATCCGGGAGGTGGAGGTTGCAGTGAGTCAAGACTGCATGCCACTGCACTCCAGCCTGAGCGACACAGCAAGACTCCGTCTCAGGGGGGGAAAAAAAAAAAAGAGATAAAAGAAACATGAAAATAAAGCCGAGATATGAGCGGGAACTAGCTCTAATAGATATGGTAACACAGAATAAGTGATAAAATATATTTTGTGTAGACAAAAGAATGGTGAGACAAGGTAAAAGTAGACTCTTTAAAACAGACCCAAAGTACCACTTCAGTCAGTGGGGAACAGATGGATTATTTAGCAAATGGTATTGGGACAGCTGACTGCTATTTGGAAGAAAGCTTGACTCTTACCTGATGACTACATTAGTAAAACTTCCTTATCATAGAACATTCACATCATGTTAGAGCATTCAGGGAATTAATAAAGGGTTAAAAATATAATAATGACTTGCAAACCTGTTGGTAAATTTAACACCGTTCTTCTGGATATCTACAGTACTAAAGTTTTTATTGTTACGAAGGACTTTTTCTTCCTTACAGGTTACACGAAAGTAATATCCAAACTGTGTACTGGAATCCAGTTTAATCTGTTTGCCAGGGTCCAAGCCTTGATAATCAAGAAGAAAAGAAAAAGTATTCCATAAATACCTACAGCCATTTTTCAATGTAACTCTAAAATTATTTAAATAATGAAAAATATATTGTTATATGACAACACATCACAATTATTATCTAACCAGAAAAGATTCAAATACTACTTACTTGAAAACTACATGAATTACGGATATCTATTTATAAAATCCTCAACTCCCTTATGAATGTTAGTTTCTGACTTGAAAGCTGCTTTCTGGGTAAACCTATCCAAGGCTGCAGAACACCAGCACTGGGCAACACATTTGCCCCAGTTGTTGTGAGCACATGAGGATGGATTAAGGTATAACCCCACCCTCGTGGAGTTATGCATGAGAATTATTTTCTTAACCAAAGTTATTTCTTTGGAACTAATATAGAGTATAATTAATGTGACCAAATACAATTTCCAAACAAAAACTTGAGACTCTGACAATGAAACTCTAGGAAAACTAGTGCACATATTTTCTGTTAAGCATAGGAAACTTCACAAACCAAATGATCTGATTGATATGTGAACGGAAAATAAATCTCGGAACCCCAAAATCACTAAGCCGAGGGAAAAGTCAAGCTGGGAACTATGTCAGACAAACCTGCTTCCCATCTTATTCCTAAATAAGATAGCAACCAAGATTAAAAAGCTACATACCTCCCTCACAGTTTGCCCACAAGGAAATTCCTTGTGAGCCTCCAGATGTTCACTCTCAAACAACTCTGTTGAATTTCACCCTAGCAATGTAAACTGATAGCTTATCTTCACAGGTGAGGGACAGAAAGTCATCCCTCTGCTCACCTGACACAAATGCATTTCTGATTGCTTCCTCTGCCCTATTGTTTATGTAAAAATGCAGATTCACTGAGCCAGACTATTCAGTGAAAGGTCAATCAAGGACTCAAAAGAATGCAACCTTTTGTCTCTTATCTACTTATTACCTGAAAGCCCCTTGCTTC